GGAAAAAGTCGGCTCCCCTGACTGAATTTGTAGAATTATTAAATGTATACATGTATACTGAAGCAAATAAAATACATGTATGTCAATATGCATATAAAGATTTGATTGCTTATTCTTCATTATAAGGAATTTTTATCACTCTAATGATGATTTTATAACCTCATAAATTTTTCATTTCACATGCTGAATACTATCATTTAGTAAAAAGAAAAAAAAAAGTATTTAAAAAAAAAAAGATTCGACCGAGATTCGATCCCGGGACCTCTCACATTTGAAGCGAGAGACGTAACCACTAGACCACGGAATTGCTTTACATAATGTGAAGTATATGCAGAAGTGAAGTCACATACATGTATATATTCATGTTTTCATGTCCGGTATTCTCAAAATTTTACACAATCCATGGTGTTTGATTTATTTAGCCTTTATTAAACAGTTCTAATAGATGTAATAAGCACATAAAGTCCGCCAAGAACCTGTTTTATACGCAATAACTCTCCTCATGCCCCTGCGCTAAAAATAGCGACATGTAATACTATAAATACTAATAAAACAAACGGGGCGGGGCACTTTGAGAGGGGCGAGAGACGTCCTAGGGAGTTTTGATATAAAATTACATTGCATAAGCTCAAAATCTTCTTGAAATATCGCCCGGAAATAATAGTATTACACACAGACAAAATGTATAAATTTACGACCTTGAACTTTGACCTTTTGACCTCAAAATCAATAGGGGTCTTCATTAGGCCACAGGGAGTTGTTATATAAAATTTCATTGCTATAGCTCAAATGGTTCTAGAGATATCGTGTGGAAACGAAAGTGTTTTAACAGACAGAATTTGCTTATTTATGACCTTGACCTTTGACCTTTTGACCTCAAAATCAATAGGGGTCTTCTTTAGTTCATAGGAAGTTGCTATGCTAAATCTCATTGCAAAAGCTCAAAGGGTTCTCGAGATATCGTGTGGAAACGAAAGCGTTACAGACAGACAGAAAGACGGACGGACGGACGGACGGACAGACGGACGGACGGACGGACGGACGGACAAACCCAAATTAATATCCCCCATTTTTCAAGCGGGGGACAAAAAAAAAGTCTAAGTTTGTTGATCATTTGCCATGCGAGACGCATGTTCATGGAGGCGTGGGTAGTGCAATGGGTAGCGTATGTGGCCATGCCTACTATAGTCGAATCAGAGGGGATATTGGAAAGTGGACTCTTCCAATAGGCTGATCACCCCTCTGAGTAAATAGAATGGTCCGTAGGTATATAAAGGAGACGCTGGCAGCTGCCAGGCGTTATTCTGACGGAATCAGACTCAATCACTTGTCCACATAAGAAGAAGAAGATAGAAGAAGAAAACGTTAGGTAATTAAAGTCATTACTTGAAATAAAGAGATAAAGCAAAGGTTTGAAGCGCATTAGTGGAAAGAGAACAGTCTAGGGGAATTGTGGTGAGGTACCAGGGCGAAGTAATTCTGCATAAGAGTGAAAGAACCTGGTACTTCACTTAACAATAGGAACTCTGGCTGTTCCAGGAACACAGTGCAGGTTACCTTGTTTATGAACCACGGCCTACCATTTCAATTAATTGTACATAGTTCCAATCAATGATAACTCAGATAGAGTAAGAGGAAATATATATATATTAATAAAGAACCCTTGTCCCTTGTAGAACCCAGTAGGTTTACACGTTACAGTATAAAGGTAGAACGGTATGTAAAAAAAATGTATTCAAATTGGGAATGTCATCTTTTTAGCTCACCTGAGCCGAAGGCTCAAGTGAGCTTTTCTGATCAAAATTTGTCCGTTGTCTGTCGTCGTTGTCGTTGTCGTTGCTGTTATTGTCGTTGTCGTTGTCGTCGTAAACTTTTCACATTTTCATCTTCTTCTCAAGAACCACTGGGTCAATTTCAACCAAACTTGGTACAAAGTATCCTTGGGTAAAGGGGAATCAAGTTTGTTCAAATGAAGGGCCACGCCCACTTCCAAGGGGATATAATTATGAATTTGTGAAAAATTAATGGCATTTTTAAAAAATCTTCTTCTCCAGAACCGCTGGGCCAGGAAAGATGAAACTCATGTGGAAGCATCTTCAGGTAGTGTAGATTCAAGTTTATTCAAATCATGACCCCCGGGGCAAGGGTGGGGCCAAAATGGCCGACCCAAGTTTTACATAGGAATATATAGGAAAAATCTTTAAAAATCTTCTTCTCCAGTACCACTGGGCCAGGAAAGATGAAACTCGTGTGGAATCATCCTCAGGTAGTGTGGATTCAAGTTTGTTCAAATCATGACCCCTGGGGCAGGGATGGGGCCAAAATGGCTGACCCAAGTTTTACATAGGAATATATAGGAAAAATCTTTAAAAATCTTTTTCTCTAGAACCACTGGGCCAGGAAAGAGGAAACTCATGTGGAATCATCCTCAGGTAGTGTAGATTCAAGTTTGTTCAAATCATGACCCCTCGGGGCTAGGGTGTGGCCAAAATGGCCGACCCAAGTTTTACATAGGAATATATAGGAAAAATCTTTAAAAATCTTCTTCTCCAGAACCACTGGACCAGGAAAGATGAAACTCATGTGGAATCATTCTCAGGTAGTGTAGATTCAAGTTTGTTCAAATCATGACCCCCGGGGCAAGGGTGGGGCCAAAATGGCTGACCCAAGTTTTACATAGGAATATATAGGAAAAATCTTTAAAAATCTTCTTCTCCAGAACCAATAGGCCAGGGAAGATGAAACTCATGTGGAATCATCCTCAGGTAGTGTAGATTCAAGTTTGTTCAAATCATGACCCCCGGGGCAAGGGTGGGGCCAAAATGGCCGACCCTTGTTTTACATAGGAATATATAGGAAAAATCTTTAAAAATCTTCTTCTCGAGAACCACCGGGCCAGGAAAGATGAAACTCATGTGGAATCATCCTCAGGAAGTGCAGATTCAAGTTTGTTCAAATCATGACCCCCGGGGCTAGGGTGGGGCCAAATTGGCCGACCCAAGTTTTACATAGGAATATATAGGAAAAATCTTTAAAAATCTTCTTCTCCAGAACCAATAGGCCAGGGAAGATGAAACTCATGTGAAATCATCCTCCGGTAGTGTAGATTCAAGTTTGTTCAAATCATGACCCCTGGGGCAAGGGTGGGGCCAAAATGGCCGACCCTTGTTTTACATAGGAATATATAGGAAAAATCTTTAAAAATCTTCTTCTCGAGAACCACTGGGCCAGGAAAGATGAAACTCATGTGGAATCATCCTCAGGTAGTGTAGATTCAAGTTTGTTCAAATCATGACCCCCGGGGCAAGGGTGGGGCCAAAATGGCCGACCCTTGTTTTACATAGGAATATATAGGAAAAATCTTGAAAAATCTTCTTCTCGAGAACCACTGGGCCAGGAAAGATGAAACTCATGTGGAATCATCCTCAGGTAGTGTAGATTCAAGTTTGTTCAAATCATGACCCCCGGGGCTAGGGTGGGGCCAAAATGGCCGACCCAAGTTTTACATAGGGATATATAGGGAAACCTTTTAAAATCTTCTTTTCAAGTTCTTCAAAGCTATGATTAGTGATACATGTTTTTATATGGAATCATCCTCAGGTAGTGTAGATTCTAATTTGTTCAAATGATGAACGCCTGGAGGGGGGATAAATTCAAGCCCGATGTGCTCATGCAGATGAGCGCTGTGGCCCCTGGGCCTCTTGTTTTATAATACTGATGAGCAATACTTGATTGTGAACCTTTATTTTTCATTACATGTATAAGCTTATTGATTATCAGGTACAAGTATTATAATTATTTAATATCTGTATCGAGATCTATTATATAAGGAGAGGGTGTACACAGGCATCGCTTATTGCCAACGCTTTATTGCATTATTCAATGAAATATGTTTATATTAAAACGTAAAATGATTTTTTTTCTAGTGTTAGATATCTAGTATCGTATCTTCCTTTTAGCGATAAGCACTCATTTTATCTATTACTCATCAAGCAAGACAATTTTGATTATTAAGGGTACTTACCACAAACAAAAAATGGATGCACGGCTTGATATATAATTTTTGACTGATTTCGATTTAAAATGACATAAATAATTTATCCCTGAATTAAAAAGAAATCGTAGGTTTTCCTTGATGCTTAGATATGAGATTTTGTTTTGCCTTCTATACAATTCCATACAAAATTTTGCACAATTTTTTAACCTTATGACATAATCTTATATAATTCTCCCAATCTCCTTGACAAACATTATTCAGGTTACCAATTTAAATGTAAATCTATGAGAAATAATGCTGATTTCTGAAAAAAGTTTGTTTGTGTTATTTATCCTTAAAACCCGGTTTATATTTTAATTTTGGACGGAACGATAACATTGTTTTCTGAGAGCGCGTCAAGAATCAAATAAATTCTTAAACAATAAAAAACACTTATTATATCTTTTGCTCATTAAGTACGTCATTTTATGAAATTAAATTCCGGATAAAAGTTTTCACTCTGGACAAAAAGATAACATTGGTTTTTTAAAAGCTTGTCAAGTATCTCTTTAGATTTCAATGTAGATCACTGCATTTTTTTAAAGCTGTTTGAGTTGATAAGATTTAAAAAAAAAACCTTTGTTACACATCATATAAAGGGCTCGCTTAAACATCAGAAATCACTGTAAAGATGGCCGTTCTACGAGTGCAATGTTTACTTCTCTTTATGTTCATGTATGGAACATTTGGTGATTTATCTTTAATTGAAAACGAAGTTTCTGATAAAAATGGTTTGCTCCCTAGTACCATATCCGGTAAGGCTTCCAATGTCCTACGTGACATTCTTAATCAGGAAAGTCTGGTCCGTTTCTCTATGGTACAAAAAATACAAAGTTTAGTTATGGATGCTACGAACAGCAAAAGCGATATACAAGTTATTAAGGCGAAACTTGGTGAAATGGCAAAGGACTTATGGAACTTGAAAACGAAAAACCAAATATTGGAGGAAGAAAATATTGAACTTAAAGAGAAATTCAAGATGGTGAATGGACCGGTGAATGTAAATACAAACTTTACAAAGCAAGAAATGCAATATATTGACCAGGTGGTTGAAAGTAAAACTTTAACTCTTCAGGAACAGTTTGATTTGTCAAAAAAGACATTGGAAAGAGACTTGAAAAAGGTCATACAAACATTGAAGATGACGGAACAGAATACAAAAGAGAAAATAAAGGCTTTAAATGAATCGCAAATGGTTTCCGCTAAAAGCCCGCAAATCGAAATGTTCCAATATCAAATGAATGCAATGAATGTAACATTACAGAAATGCAGCGTAAGCAGTTTTTTTGAACGTGTGAAAAAGACAGAGTACGCTTTAGAAAACTTCTCCGTCTCTGTTAATGAAACTCTACATACTGTTTGTGGGGATCTGAATGAATCCAGCTGGATCTTGTCTAAAGGTAAAATATTACATTGTATTTCAGTTAAGACTACTAAACTGAATTCTAAAGAGAATGATTGAAACAAACCTTGAAGAAAGGAACTGTACATTAGAATAATCGTGCAAACTTTCTTTAATAAATATAGATATGATTTTTCTTCGAAATCGTTCATGAGATATATTTTAGGCGTTTGTACACCATATAATGTGTATCATCTTCCACATAAACCACAATAATGTTCGAATCTTTATTTGATCAATCTGTTAGTGAAGATGTTGTTTTTTCAAAATATATCTTCTCTTTCAAAATGATACAGAGGAATTAATTCATCGCACTTTTTATTTTCATTTTTAGCATACATTTATAATTTCTAATCACAAGTTCGTTTTTTTTTAAATACCCATATTAATTCATCAAAACAAATAAAATTACATATACAAAAAGGAATAACATTAATAAATACTATTGTTGTTCCTAGAAATAGACAATAGAAACTTTGTAAAGTTTTTTTCAAAGAAAGAAAAGATGGGAAGAAAGTTAAATGAAATCATTTCGAAAACTGATTTATTCAAGAGCGGATGTAATGCTGTTATGTAAGATTGCTGACGTCTTTAAATGTCTGTAAGTGAAATTTTCATTTGCCCATAGAATTAAATACTAGTATACGAATATGTATGTTATTGAACCTGAATATACACTGGGAAAAACATTTAAAAATGTAATTAAGTTAATAGAATTAAAGGTATATCCAGAAATTTGTTCAGGGGATTGGGGTTGAGAGGATACATGCCAGCTTATAGAGAAAAGAAACCAACTCCAAAGTGGCAAGATATACAATATATAAGCCATTAAAGGTACTTCTACTATAATAATGCCAAAGCAAAACAAAAAGATTTTTTTTAAATGGTGGGCAATACATATAAGGCATTTGACTTTTCACTTTTCGAAATTAATTTGCATTCAGTCGTAATTATCGGAAAAAAAGAGTTGAAAATGTATATTCTTCTTGTTCAGTCATATTCAAATGCTTACTGTGGGTCTTTTGGCAGAGGTGGATACAAGGTGTATTTGGTTTACACAATATTTATTTCGGAAAAAGGGGATAATTGCAGACAAAAATTCCTAATCAGGTTTCACCACACAATTTCAGTCAGTCCACAATTACTTGAGTATTTTCTGTTGAACATTGAAGTTTACAAGTGTCCTAAACATTTATTTGTGGCAATTTTATAATCTTTTGCATAGTGCTTCTGAAGGATTGCGGGGAGATTTTAAAGAGACGTTCCCGAGTTTAAAGGGCCGAGATGGTTTATACAGAATATCCGTAGGCTCTGGAATCAAGTCTGTTTACTGTGACATGAGTACTGATGGCGGGGGTTGGACGGTGAGTACAACTCATAATAATAAAGAAGAAAAAATAATTTACTTGTTATAAAATAAAAATATTAAGTATTTTTATTTAGTAAAAATCATCTACTCCGTTTGTTCACAAAAAAACCCCAGATTTTTAAAGAATTACATATATACATGATGTAGAATCCGTGTGTATTTGTCAAGATTTCATAAATGATTAAGTAAACAAGTTTTAAATTACTCAAGTTTGCTGAGTGTAAAACGAATTACAAATCAATTAATGTGTTTCAGGCTATTCAATGGAGACAGGACGGTTCTACAGATTTTTACAGGACGTGGACAGAATATAAACAAGGATTTGGTGATCCCTCTACAAACTACTGGATTGGTAAGATTGACTTTTTGCTTTAGCAAAAAAAACTTATCTCTAATTATAACTATATGTTATTGATTACATTATTTACTTTAGCATCATTTTCTTTGCATCTGGAAGCTTTTCTATGTATATTCAAATGTTTGTTGTAGAAAGCAAACACAAACGATACCCAATTTGCACCAGTTGTTATTTCCTGTTACTGTTTATAAATCCTGATGATTAAGTAGGCCTTTTAACTAATTTTTCAAGTTGCACAAACATTGCATAGATAGGTTTATAGGTACATGAAAATATTTAAAAAAAAAAGATAATAACTTATGCATACTTTTAATTACGTCATTAAAAAAATTAATATTTTATAATTGACTTTTACGATGTTGTGTTTTAAGGACAGGTAACTCAGGTGTGAAAAATGACCAATTAAGTGCCGAATTATGAGTTGTCGTTTATAGGAATGACATATAGGCTGTTTCGGCATTGGTATTGTTATGCACACAAAAGGGTTCCTTACATTGTTTTGTACACAAAAGTGTTGACCAAAAGAAGTAGAATGCCTTCACTCTACCTGAAATAACAGGGTCGAATTGTTTTGAATTGAACAGATTATTCAGTATCTTTAACTCTCTTTGACGACTGTTGTGAAGTAGAAAATATAACTAAATGTTTTTTGTGTTCGCTCTTTTTCGCTTCCTATATGAAAAAACATATTTTTACAAGTAAATGCATCAATTGATTATCTTATTTGTGTTACTAAGCACGAAGGGGAACGACCGAGTATAAAAATCTAAATAGGTTAGAACTAAGAAGGAGGGTAGATTTCACTTTTTATTTTAATTAAAAATTTTAAATATATATTATTAAACGGTGTCCGCAAATACACAGTAAAGAAGTTTAACATTGGAGCTAAATTTTAAAATTACTGGATCTCTACTGACAGCAAAGAAACACTTCTCGAAATACTAAAAACTGATTGCATGTAAACAGTTTATATATCGGGCCTGCTTCAAACAAGTTTCAGCAGCGAGTTATCGTTCATGAAAGCGAACCCTAGCGGCACTTGAAAGGCCTAAATTAAGCCATTTTACATTTATAAACACAAATAAAAACTATTGGAAAGAAACAGAAATTAGTTCTGCTTCTACATACATAAAAGATGCAGAAATCCTCAACTTTACAAAAATTTGCTTCCCAACATACCTGTACTCATGCAGTGTGCACGAGATTCAAGATCAATAATTTCGAAGATCTTATTTTTGCCTAATTCGGCCGAGGGCTCGTTTACAACTTTTATTTTTGCTATACAATACTGTATTAAAAAGAATAAACAGATATCACTATTAGCAACAGATTTTAAAAAGAAATGAAGATATGCAGGACTTAGAAATAATTATAGAGCCAAGAATTCTTTGTAATTTTCTTTTGCAAATTTAATGAATGACATTTAATTACATAATTTGTTCCATTGATTTTTCTATCAACCTTAACAATACAAAAATCATCAAAATGTTTATCAAGAAAAAATAGGAGAATGAATCATATAATTTTATAAACCAAGAACCTAATTAAAAATAATTTCAAATCTAAGAAAAAAATCCTTTTGACGTGTAAGATGAATATTAAAGCAATAAACCATGTTACACAAAACATTTTACATGGTGAGGGTAGAGATTTACCATAGGTTCACAGCATTTACACAGATACAGTTTTTAGATATCTTTCAAAATACCCCAAATACCCAATTAATTATTTTTCAAAGATATTGCCCAATAAAAATAAACATTATAAATAAATATAGGTCAAAGAAACTTGATATAAAGATTTGATAATGCAGAACGTATAAACAGGGGAAGGGGCTTTATGCGCTACTTTAATATAGTTGAGCTTATCTGTTGTAAACCAGATCTGCACTTTCTCCTAAATACACTTCCAAAATGATCATCTTGTCACAATAGGCCAATGGAGAAAAGACTTTTCTTTTCCCCCAGAACAACTTTTTAGTACAATTTAAATTGCATAAAATTAAAGGACTTACTATCAAATGAAAGGTCTTGTCACAAGGATTGAATATGTAAAGTATGAAGGTTTGCTTTTTAAAAGTAGGTCAAACTCCAAAGTCAAAGGGACAAAGGACTTGCTATCAAATGGAAGGTCTTGTCACAAGGATTGAATATGTAAAGTATGATGGTTTCTCTTTCTAAAAGTCTCTCTCTCTCTCTCTCTCTCTCTCTCTCTCTCTCTCTCTATCCAATAAAGGGTCTTTTCACAAAAATTACACATGTGAAGTATTAAAGCCCTTTCCCTTAAAGTTCAAAAGTTATGGCCAAAGTTAAAGTTTTTTATATGTACAGAAATCTCCAAGGTCAAGGACAAAAGGTTAAAGTTGTTGGTATCCAAAGATAATTCCTTCCACAAAGCATACGTATGTGAAGTATAAATGTCCTTGTGTCTACTGTTCAAAAAATCTGGCAAAGAAAAAGTTTGGAACTTTTGAGCAAAAGTAGGTCAAACTCCAAGGTTAAGTTCAAATAGTCAAATTTGGTGGTACCTTAAGAAAGGCCTTGTCATGAGATCTGTCACGGCATCACAAGAAATACACATGTGAAATATAAAAGTCATAGTTCCACTAAATTAAAAGTTATAGGCAAGGTTTAAGTTTTTAAAGGAAAACAGACATACAGAGAGACAGACACATAGACACACAGACAGATGGACACAACAAAAACTATACAGTACAGCCCTGAAACTTTACGTTTACGGGAGCAGAAAAAACAAAAAAGGAAAATAACAGTCGTAATATTGTAGATAATTATGAAAAACAACCATACAGTGTCCCTTACTGCTTTTTGAACAACGTCTCACAAGATTGTCTAGCTATACAATATTTATTTACATGAAAATATGAACAAAGTGCATTATTATACTCCTGTTAATATGTTTCCTATATAAAGTTCAGAGGGTAAAATAACTATCCTTTATAGTTTACGCATAGCAAAACTATTTTTGGGGTATAGTTTTTGCTATCCACCCTCGGAAAATTTTCATGCAATTGTTGCTGCCAATTTTGATTTCCTGCGATAAATCTTTAAATTGATGATGTCATAATGAATTCAGTAGCATTGTGACATCATCAGGATTTCAGATTATTCTTGCAGAATTATCTTACTCCAAAGAAATTCAAACCTCAGAAATAAAATTATACATCAGTATAATAAAACGCTTATCCACTGGTTGCGAGTGGGATAGCTCTTTTATCAAACCCTTGACAGGAACTATTCCCCTAATAGAACTT